GTGTGCCTTGGCAGTCTCCGTTTTTAAAACAAAATGTCCCATCCACGGGGCCAACCAAAGCGGTCTCATCAGCTTCTTCGTTCACGTTTGACTATTGTTCACTGTGGTTTGTTGTTGTCTGAAGTAATGAACGTTAGTTGGTGCTCCAGTATAATCGGTACCCCTGAAACTCATCCAGTGAGAAACGTTCCGCGGTGCAAAAATAAGTGCGATTAAAATGCGTTAATTTTTTTAACGCGTTAATTTTTGTGTAATTAATTAATCTTAATTAACGCGTTAAAGTCCCGGCCCTAATATATATATATAAAATAAAGTGTATGACATACTGTGTGGCTTTGGCATAAGAAGTACTTTTCTCTTGATTGATCAGGCCAACATTTGCCATGAGTTCAGACTAGTGCTCAATGTTTAACAAGACTAATTCAGCTTGAACCTGAATATCTTCTTACATTTTGGTCAAATGATGTAAGAGAAAGCAAGTTTTCTTTAAGCAGACATTCAATTTGTAATTTTTGTATTTTATTTTGTGTCACCTCTGTAAAATTAACTGACTTAAGACACAACCATACGTTAATTATCATTACATATTACACATATAATGGTCCACTTGAAAGTAGAACATATTATATTTGTCAATTTTATGTCTTTATTTACTCTCTGCAAAGACAATCTGAAACATATGTTTAGCTGAACCATGGAACCATCTCTGAAAGTATTGTTATGCACACACAAACACCACTTTATTTCCTCGTAGCAGCAGAGGGGAGGTTGTCCCTACAAATCCCTTTGATTTTGCGGCTCATTACATTCTGTAAAAAACAGAGTTCATTTTGTAGGGCTGGTTTTCATTTCTATGCAGGCAGGTGTTTAATGGGGGAGTATGTGTGCCTGCGTGGGAAGGCGGAGCGATCATTCCCACCAACCATTTTTCCCTGGCAAACAAACATCTCTGCAGAAATCTGGAATGCCTCTCAGGACAAAGTACTACGCATTTAGTAAAAGGCAAAAGAGTATATTTTACAAGTAACCAGACAAACAGAAAGGTGAGAATTTAGATCTATTGCAGTTGTAGCAGCGGCTTCTCAGCAGCACACAAAACCGGGGTTGCATTTGTGGCTCGTTTGGTGAAAATGCAAATCACATATGAGGGTGACGTCCTGGGTTTAAAACTAGCGTGGGCCCTTTGTTGTCATTTTTGTCTCACTCTCGCAACGTTCCCTTCCTCTCTACCCTGACTGTCAGCTATCAAATAAAGCAAATGGGGAACATGAGGCGAAAAACAATTATCTGAGTAAACAAATCAACAGATAAATAATGAAACTCACTGAATTCAAATAAATAGGGGAACACAAACAACGTGTATTGTTGCATTTTCCCTGCAGAAACACCCCGGTCCCGTTTTAAATGATGAAACGAATAAAAGCCAAATACCAGGGATTTGAAAGATTGCAGAATGTCAAATGGGAATGATGTCTGCCTGAACAAAAACCCACATTTATTGCTCAACAACCCTTGATGCTGTTTCTCTGGCATAACATCCCGTGACAGAAACACACAAACACACACACGCACAGGCACACACCGCATAGACGCAGTGAGGAGGCTACGTCTCACGGGTGGCATGTGCACAGCAATTACAGACAAAGCTGAAGGAGGCAAGCAAAGAAGTAATGCTCCTGAGAACTCGTGAGTTACCATGGAAACATCGGCTTCTGAATGAATTTGCTGGAAAAGCAGAGCGCAAGAGATAGAGTCCAAATTGTAGCACCAACTACCCAAACCCCCTCTTTCCATCCCCTGAACTGCCAGGGGAAAGCAGAGGCTGCAATTCCCGACGCACCAAACACCGTAACTGATGCACACCAATGGTACCATGCATGGATGTATGTTTGGTGCACAGTTTTATCTCAAACACAACAGCATATTTTAAAAATTGATATCTAGTCAGAACATAACATTGTGCTGTTACACAGCGTATTCAAACGAGAAGGTAAAGAATCACAGTATCCTAATAGAGCCACAACACTGCATTATATTCCAATCCTAAACAGATATTCATTATCCAGAATGATTTATGTTCACCTGACCAACATGCAGCAGCAAGGAAACTGTGCAGATGTCTGCTTTAAAAGGTCTCATATCATGCTAAGTGCACTTTTTAATGTCCTTTATACATAAATATGTGTGCCAGGGAACTCACAAAGAGTAAGAAAACAAAACCCTCTCTCTTTTCCTCTGTACCCAAAATCCCCAAAAATGAGGGTACAACGGAGCTGATCCAGATTTGCGTCCGATATGAGGTAATATCAGAAATGTGGACCCACGGCCCTATCAGAAAGTTGCTATCAGAAACAATGCCTGACGTGTTGTGGACGTAATATGGTCTTTGTTTACATTAGCAAGCATCGCTAACACTCAGAGCTAACCTGTACTGGAGAGAGCATGTGTAAACAAAGACCATATTACGTCCACAACACGTCAGGCATTGTTTCTGANCAAAGTAGGATTTGCCTCCTCTTTGCCTCCCTCGTGACTTCAACAGGACTCCAATGTCTTTGTCAGTCTTCGTCTGGCTGACGCTGCAGCTGACGCTCCAGGAAAGCCCACAATGATTGCTGAGTCAGTATAGATAGTGTCCTCACCGGGTCTGGATGCACACTGAGTTATTCTGATTTTAAATGCGCTATTTAAATGATTTTTAGCTGAGGGTTTACTAACTCACGCTGTTTTGCACTTCGCGCAATCAGCAGAGTGTTCCTGCCTATTGTAATGCAGGGTTGAGGCGCGTGACCCACTGAGACCTGTTTTACAGGTTGAGTTGAGCAGATCTGAGATTTAAAATCTCTCAGAAATCGCCGTTTTAGCTACAATAACTACAGAACAATTATACAGAGTAGAATAAATGAAACAGAGAAGTCTATTTAAACAAGAATATAACTTACAGTGATTGCTGAGTCAGTATAGATAGTGTCCTCACCGGGTCTGGATGCACACATCCCGGTGAGACAGACTCGGAGGAGGGAAGTTAGTATTGTTTATGAAGCAGGGTATAGAAAGTAGCCTACATTATTGAAATGAAAATACTATTTATTTACTTTTACAAACAGTGAGCAGCTGGGCAGCTGTAGCATATGTATTAATATAGGATATATAAGTGTGTGCAGCCTATATGTATTAAGCGCTTTGAGCAGCAGGAAAAGTGCTATAAATGTATTTGCATGTCTTGCAGGACATGTGTTCAACACAGACTCTATGGTTGGACTCTGTCTCACAGGCAGGTTGCAGTGAAACATCAGAGGAGACTGGGCCAATAGTACATTCTCAAACTGCACCACTTAGAACTAACTAAACAATGCAGAGATTATTTTTATATAATGTATTATCGATGTGTTGGGCAATACTAATACTACCTTTTTGCTCAGAAAAAGTAAAAAGGAACAAATAAAATAATAGAAATCTTGATCTCTAACTGCTTTTAGCATTTTTATTATTTCATACCTGCATTAATCACAGAATTGTATTGAGATTAATCCGATTAAATATTGTTGATCTATTGACAGTGATGTGTACACTCAAAATACCAAACAGATCATGCATTTTAGACATCCTTCATATCCCTCTAGTTCAGCCCTGTTAGAGAAGTGCTGATTATGGGTCAGCAGCTGCTGGCCCCGCCCCCTTTTGAGGGCAAGCATGCAGTGAGGTCTCCTCTCTGTCTGCAGATACTCAGCTAAACGCTGCCGTGATTAAACGCCATATCGTGTTCCAAACCACTTCAAGGATTATTTCCGAAACAGTATGGAGCTCAAATGCTTTTTCTCTTGCGGGTTTAACACAAAGTGAGTTCCTTTTTTTATTTCCTGCTTTTTTACACATACTCTCTCCAGTACAGGTTAGCTCTGAGTGGTAGCGATGCTTGCTAATGTAAACAAAGACCATATTACTTCCAAACAAGTTGTGCATTGTTTCTGAAAGCGACGTGGATGTAAAGCCAGCCCACATTTCCCACATTAAGTCATATCGGCAGCAAATCTGGATCAGCTCCGTGGTATCCCCGTTTTTAGAGATTTGGGTACGGAGGAAAAAGAGAGAGGATTTTATTTTCTGACACTTTGTGAGTTCCCTGACACACCGGGGACACATATTTATGTATGTAATACATCAAAAAGTGCATTTTGCATGATAG